AATGATAGATTTCTGCAAAACAAATGATTTGTTTATTTCAAATACCTTCTTTAGACAGTATAACAGACGACTATACACATGGACCTCACCAGATGGAACACATAGAAATCAAATTGACTACGTCTGTGGAAAGAGAAGATGGAAAAGCTCCATATATCATCAGTGAAAACAAGGCCAGGGGCAGACTGTGGAACAGACCATCAATTACTGACATGCAAATTCAAACTGAAGCTGAAGAAAATGAAACCAAGTCCACGAGAACCAAAATATGACCTAGAATTAATCCCACCTGAATTTAGAAATCATCTGAAGAACAGATTTGATACATTAAGCAGTAAAGACCAAAGACCAGAAGAGTTGTGGGATGACATCAAGAAAGAACATCATACGTGAAGAGAGCAAAAAGTCATGAAGAAGACAAGAAAGAAGGAAAAGGTCAAAATGGATGTCAGAAGAGACTCTGAAACTTGCTCTCCAGTGTAGAGATGCTAAAGCAAATGAAAGAATTGAAGAGGTCCAAGAGCTGAACAGAAAATTTCAAAGATCAGCTCAAGAAGATAAAACCAAATACTATAATAAAATATCAAAACAGTTATGGCCCCTCAATCAACTTGCAGACTTGCGCCAGTTTTACAGACCAACACACCTTTTAATGAAAGGGAGACTGACCCGGTTCTCCTTGAGGAAGGATCCTACTACATTGCCAAAATTTATGCTGTTAATCTTTCTCTCAGCCTTCCCCAAAGTCACTTTTTAGGAGAGTGAATATTAATTGGGGAAAAGGAAATAATCAGATTTTCAGGAATTACTGGATGCTGATTCTGAACTGACCCTAATTCCGGGAGACCCAAGACATCATTGTGTCAGAGTAGGAGTGTATGGAAGTCAGGTTATTAAAGAATTCTTAGCTCAGATCTCACAGTGCATCCAGTGGGTCCCAGAATCCATCCTGTAATGATTTCCCCAAAATACATAATTGGAATAGATACACTCAGCAACTGGTAGAATTCTCACACTGGATCCCTAACATGTGGAGTAAAGGGTATTATGGTAGGATAGCCCAAGTGGAAGTCATTAAAATTTTCTCTACCTAGGAAAATAGTAAACCAAAAGCAGTATTGCATTGCTAGAAGGATCGCAGAAATTAATGCAGTCATCAAGGACTTGAAGGATGCAGGGGTGGTAATTCCTACCACATCCCCATTCAACAGGCTTATTTAGCCTGTACAGAAAACAGATGGATCTTGGGAAATGATAGTGAATTATTGTAAAAGCAACACAGTGACGCCAATTGCTGTTGCTCCAGATGTGGTTTCGTTGCATGAGCAAATAAATACTGGCATGCAGCTATTGATCTGGCCAATGCCTTGTTCTCAATACTTGTTTCTAAGGATCATTACAAGGTGAAAACAATACAAACGTCCATCAACAGATGAAATGGATAAATAAATTATGGAATATATATAATATGGAAAATGATTTGGTCTTAAGGAAGAACAACAGGTTACAACCTCAAAAACACTTGCTGCGTGTAAAGAAGTCAGTACAAAGGGCTACATGCTGTATTTCATCTATATGAAGTACCCCTAACAGATATTCCATATAGACAGAATATAGAACAGTGGTTGCTAGGAGATTGGAGAGGGAAGAAGGAGGCAGTGGTTACTTAACTGGTATGGGGTGTTCTGAGGTAATGAAAGTTTTGAAACTAGAGAAAAGTGCATGAAAAGTGTACTAAATGCCACTGAATTGTTCACTTAAAAATGGTTAACTATATGCTATGTAAATTTTACCTCAAAATTTAAAAAATGGCAACATATACAAATATGTTCTTTCCAGCAAAAAATAAAAAAAGAACCACAAGTTTTGTAGCAATAAGGGGTGAGTGGTCTATCTTACATTCCCAGAGCAGAGGACCCTAAGACCATCAAGGAAGAAGAGCTGGAGAGGAGTGTGGGACCCTACCCAGAGAGGCCATGACGCCAGAGATGGAGGCAGAGAGGATGACATGGAGAGAAAGAGCAGCTGAGGACTCTTAGACTCATGCAGCGAGAGGGCATGTGTGCTGGCGGCAGGAGGGGCAGGCTTGCAGCGTGTGCCCTTTGGCTGTTTGAACGATTGTTTATTCCTGAGTGTTTTGGTGCACATCCAAAACATAAACAAAAACCCAGAGGGAATAGAATCAAATACTGGTGAATGATGAAGCATGCCCGGGATTGTAATCATTGCAATGAAATGAATACGATAGGATCAGTGTAAAACTGATGTCCCCCCCACATAAACTATCACTCGATTCACAATAAAAACTTAAAAAAAGAAAGAAAAAAGAATCACAGTGTTAAAAATCAGTTTACCAAGAAAACTACCCTAAGTTAACGTTCTCAGACACAACGGTAGTAACATTTACATCAGCAGAATGAAAAATTAAACCAAGATTTCAATGGGAAAATAAATCTTAACCTCAAGTTTTGTGGTGGGCACAAGGGTGAAAGCCATTTTGTGCTCAGTGATAGGAGAGACCTCAGATTTACAGCTCTGAAGAGCAGAACCACAGGAGGTCAGAATGCCAGAGCTGCCAGGGGCTTGAAACAACCGCTCCCAAAGGTAGCAAGCACAGTTTGACTTCGGAGCTGGAAACCGAGACCGGTTCTCTTCGCACATCCGCCAGACCACCAGGCAAAGCTTCCTAGAGAGGTTGGGTTTTAGGTTTGTTTCTTTGTTTGCTTTAAACACTCCACAACGTTTGGTGACTGAATTGTGGACTGGCATTCCAGGACCATCGGAAGAGAGGTAAAGGTGTGAGCGGGAGAGGGACAGAGGTGAGTTAAGCCATGGAGTTAGGCCTTGACCTGACAGAAGACACTCAGACAGCCATAGTGGCAGGGTAGGCGTCCTAGACCCGGCAGAAGACCCTGCCTGGGAACCCATGATAAGTCTGCGGGTAGGCCAACGTGAGCATAAACCCGTAAGGAACACCAGGTGTCCCACGCCGGGAACTGCAAGGCCAGCTTCGACCCCTACTTGGGCCTCTGGGGACGTAGGGAGCAATTCGTCCGCGTGTCACCCCCAGGCCTGCGGCAGAGAAATGCTCTTAGCTTGTGAACGGGTCTGAGGGCAAGAACGAGGCGCCTCCCCTCAGGATCAATCAAGCTGGCCAGTCCAGGATCGCTGGCGTTTCGGCGCTGCGGCAGCGACGCCCTGCATGTCACCAGCAGCTCGGTGGTTCTTTCTTGCTATAGCCAAGATAAGTAGATATTCACGAAACGTTAGTTAAGTGGTTGAATGAATATCTCCTCAGGAGAGCAGTTGACTTTCACTACTAGCTCTCCCGTAGAAACTGAGGGAAAAGTGTGGAACAGAAATAGCATAATAATCCATCAGTTTTGCATACTGGGTTTCCGTATTCCAATTTTGAAGCATGTGCGTATACCTGAAAGGCTGAAGACATGCTGCCCACAATTATGGATGTGACCAGGATCTATGTTGTTGATAGGAGCCGTCCCGTCGGTTCGGATTCATAGCGACCTCACGTCGTACAGCAGAAAATAAAGCCGGGTCCTGCTCCATTCTCGCAATCGTTGCTAGGTTTGAGTCCATTGTTACAGCCACTGTGTCAATCCTTTTTCTTGAGGGTCTTCCTCGTTTTCTCAGGAGCTCTATATTTTCGAAATCCTAGAGAAAGCGCCACGTAGTATATGTGTACTGTTTTGTAAAAAGCAGGGAAATGTATTTCTTTTGTCCAGGGTCGGGCAACACCTTTACCTCACACTTCTGTTTTTTTCTCTGTTTGGAGGGCCCAATTTATTGCTGGAAAGATCGGAGATTAAAATGATGAAAAAAAAATATCTAATTTTGGAAGACTACGGCTTCGGTAAACATTAGAGGGTGAACGGCAAAGCTCCTTAGCAGCGAGGCCTTCGATAGCTCAGTTGGTAGAGCGGAGGACTGTAGTGGGTTGGCTGTGGCAATCCTTAGGTCGCTGGTTCGATTCCGGCTCGAAGGACTTCGTCTGTTTTTTATTTGTTTTTTAACTTAAAATTTTGATATAATTTAATTACACCAAAGGGTTATGGAGTACTTAGGAGCCAGCTTGTGAATTCGTATTAGTACTGCAGGAATTAGGTAAGATTCGTACGCTCGTCTATGTATTACATGCGAAGGTTTTGTAATACTTCAATAAGCTTCGTTATTATTGTGTATGTATAATTGCTATATATTTAATTTAAAAAAATGTACCCACACGCTGCTGAATAAATGTCCTAAATTTGTGTCGTTAGCAGATAGCCCAGACCTGTAAAGTAAAGAGAAAAGGAGCTGCAGCAACCGGGGGATTAGCTCAAATGGTAGAGCGCTCGCTTAGCATGCGAGAGGTAGCGGGATCGATGCCCGCATCCTCCACTCAGTTTTTAGCGGTGGTTTAGGAAACTATCTTTGAATAGTGGGAGGGCCAACTTGGATGGGTCCATGAAACCTAATGAGAAACCGGTAAAACGGTATCCTGTTGCAGGCAATGTGTTTTTAATTCACAGATGAGTCTTTTCAAGTTTATTTCTCAGGCATTTTTTTCCTCTTGCTAGTAAGCAGGCCGTTAACCGTTTTCTGAAAACACGCTGGTAGAATTCTTCACCCTGTTTGCCCGTCAGATACCCCAAACGGCACTTAAGTACCCACTAACGTGCGAGGGAACCCCCGCGTTCTGACCAATGGTAGTGAACTTTACTGGGCGGGTAGCCAGCGCGTATCTGCGGCCAATAGGCGGGAGACTTCTTGTTTCCTGGCAGAGCGGGGTCCCGGCACCGCGGCGCTCCGGTTTTGTTTGGGTCCTGGGCGAAGGGCTCGGTGCCGGGGCCCAAGGTGCAGCCTCACTAGCTGGAAAGGTAGAGGGATCACCGGCCCCGAGAGAGGTGAGGGGCTCTGCGCGGAGTGCAGACCCCGCCAACCCCGGCCCCGCCCCCTTCTTTCAGCCCCTTTTAGCCTGAGCCCCTCTCCATTTCCATCCAGTTCCACCGCCCGGCAGGCTGGCAGACCCCGCCCCTCCGCCCGAGCTTTCCGCTGGCCCCATCCCTGCTCCGTGGACTCACCTCTGATCCCTAGTCCTTGCCTTCCTACCTTCCCTCAGATTGAGGGTTCCCCAGCGTTGAGGGTCAAGAGGCCACCCCGGTCCCCTCAATTGGGACTTTACCAGCTTGCCCTTTTGTGGGGTGCCAAGGAACACCCTTTATTCACCAGCAATTACCAGAGCATCCTTTGCCGGGGCTCCAGAGCTTACAGAGAGGAAGGGGGTTGGTAAGAGACTCTTGCTGGACCTGAGTAGGTTGCACCTGCTTAGTTTCCTTTAGTTGGACAAAGGTCAGTTTTTCTGATTTTCTTCCATAATAAGCGTAAGTAGTGTTACAAAAAAAAAAAAACAGAAGAAGTAGAGAAGAAGACCACCCAGCCCTTGGAGGAGGACTCAAGGGAGCAAGAGAAGAGTGCCTGGTCAGTACTTGTGAGGACAGGGTGGTGAAGAGAGGAAGTTGCTCATTTAAACTCAAAACCTTGGTTCTACTCAGCTCTGCGCTAGAGTGTAGAGGAACCAGAAATCCAGAATGTGCTTGTATCTGAAGATGGCCATGTGTTGAGGTGGGTTTATGATGACTAGGTTTAGGAAATCTGACTTCTCTAATGATACTCTTTAATCTTTGGGTTGCAAAGAAACTTGGAGTCTAGTATTTCTCAACACAGTTAAGCCACTGAGCATTACATTTTGGAACAGCCAAGCTGTAGTAAAATGTGATCCTATAATATAGCTATAACCCTTAGGGTGGGGGACAAAATGTTGTTTTTCTCTTGGCCTTTTTCATAAGGCCACTTCCAGGTTTTCTAAGGAGGAGAGAACCTCTTGCTTCTTACAGCATTCCCTAAGAGTTGTTGGAAAATGCCTCCATGTTGGTTCCAACCCATAGCAACCTTGTACAGGGTTTTTGAGGAGCGGCTGGTGAGCTTGAACCGCTGACTTTTCAATTCAAACCAACTTTGCAGTCCATCGCATTAACCCACAGCACCACACCAGGACTACTCCCTAAGAATAGCTTTCATTTATCCAAAGACCAAAAAACTTGGCCTCACTTTTCTTCTCTCCCCTCCATACTCCAAACCCCTTTCTTCCCCAGTTCTCAGGGCCAGAGTGGGGCAGGAGGATGCTTTCCCAGCCCCACCATGGAGCTGCGCTGTGGGGGATTGCTGTTCAGTTCTCGCTTTGACTCAGGGAACCTAGCCCATGTGGAGAAGGTGGAATCTGTGTCTAGTGATGGGGAAGGAGTAGGGGGTGGGGTTTCAGCCCCCACCAGCAGCATTGCCTCTTCCCCTGACTACGAATTCAACGTGTGGACCCGACCAGACTGTGCTGAAACGGAATTTGAAAATGGGAACAGGTATGAAGAAAGAAATGGAGGGTAGAAGAAAGGGGATAAACAGATTCCCAAATCCATTCTACTGTTAGACCTTTGACAACCAGTTCATGCCAGCACACCACCCTTCCTCTCCCTATCCCTTCTCCCTCCTGCCCTCCATCCTAAATAGCCTTTTCCCAATCTGACTTGCTCCCACCCTTCACGTAGTCTATCTCCATCTGTCCTTTATAACATGACTTGTCCCTCCTACTCTGGCCCTCAGGTCATGGTTCTACTTCAGTGTCCGCGGGGGAACACCAGGGAAAGTCATCAAAATCAACATTATGAACATGAACAAACAAAGCAAGCTGTATTCCCAGGGCATGGCCCCCTTTGTGCGCACAGTGCCCACTCGGCCACGCTGGGAACGCATTCGAGACCGGCCCACATTTGAGGTAAGTTGTCCATGAGCAGGATAGAAAGGTTTGGGTGCTGAAAGTAGGAGGAAAAGAAAGAGGAATTTGCCCTTGATATAGAGTAGGTGGCAGGAGGAACACCAGGTTTAGATGTGCACTTTCATTTTAGCTCTATATGGGAGTCTAAGTTAAGCCCCTGCCTCAGGAAGCCAAAATGAACTGCTCATTGTATAGAAGGTATCAGAGGGAGGGATGTCTTTAAACAGGAGGAGGGTGTGTAAGGTTGGTTCCTAGTGACCTCAACAGGAGCTTAGCTCTGATACTAACTGCATGTTGCTCTTCCCTCTTCCTCCTCTGCTCCTCAGATGACAGAGACACAGTTTGTGTTATCCTTTGTTCACCGTTTTGTGGAGGGCCGTGGGGCCACCACCTTCTTCGCCTTCTGCTACCCCTTCTCGTACAGTGATTGCCAGGATTTGCTAAACCAGCTAGACCAGCGCTTTCTGGAGAACCAGCCTACCCATAGCAGGTGCCAGCCCATTCTTACTCCTATCACACAGTCCTGGATCAGACAGCATCTGTGCTACTTCTGGAACTTGCCCTAAGTTGATCAGTCTTTTCTTTGTGCAGAATGTGGAACTCTGGGTACCTTTGAAAAATAAGTTTCTGACCTTGATCTCAGCATGCCACTACCTATATTCTGTCTACTCATTCACCTGCCCAGTTAAAGCCTCCTTTGATATCTTGCTGTTGTGTTGTGTGCTGTCATGTTGGTTCCAACTCCTGGCGACCCTGTAGAGGGTTTTCGAGAGCAGCTGGTGTAGGACTAGCCTTGTGACTAGCAGTCTAAAGCTTATCCTACAGTGTCATACCAGGGCCCTTTGATATCCTTGTTCCCATCAATTAGCCAGAATTTACCTAGCACTGTCCTAGCTCAGTCCCACTGCCTTGTCTGTTCCAATAGAGGGCAAGTCCTCTCTCTCTGCACAAAGTGATGTATCCTAGGGAGCCACAAGGGGGGGAAACACAAAGTTTTTCCTGTGTCATACTCTGCTTTCTGGCAGTGCAGACCCAGGCAAATCCTTAGCTTCATTTAACACTGAGGTATTTTAAGGAACAAGAGTTAGGGTGAAGGATCAGGTCCTACAAATCCTGGTTCTTCTTGCTAGGATTTAAGGAATGTTCCTGGCTTAATGATTTTTAATCCCTACAGCCCCCTGGATACCATCTATTACCACCGTGAGCTTCTCTGCTATTCTTTGGATGGACTTCGTGTAGATCTGCTAACAATCAGTTCTTGCCATGGACTACGAGAAGACCGAGAGCCCCGTCTGGAGCAGCTGTTTCCTGATACCAGCACCCCTCGACCATTCCATTTCATTGGCAAGAGGGTAAGAGAGACAGCATAAAAAAATATTAGTACTTTGGCATTCCTCTAGCTCCAATTGATAGCTTAAGGCTGTTGTCTCTAGGCATCTCAGGTGCAGCCTCAGCCTGCAAATTGAGGCAAGGATGAAGACTCCTACTTCACTTGCAGACTCAGCCAGCTGGAAACCCACTGGCTATTCCTGCTTTATCTACCCTCCACCCTACATATACTATCAGAGTAGAACTGTAGAGTTAACTGGCCTAATGACTGCTCTCCTCTCCATCTCAGATATTCTTCTTAAGCAGTAGGGTACACCCTGGGGAGACTCCATCTAGCTTTGTCTTCAATGGCTTTCTGGACTTCATCCTTCGACCGGATGACCCCCGAGCCCAAACCCTGCGTCGCCTCTTTGTCTTTAAGCTGATTCCCATGTTGAACCCTGATGGTGTAGTCCGGGGCCACTACCGGTAAGAAACCTCCCCAGTCCATCTGTATTTCCAGTCCTCCTCATGCCCTGAACTTCACTGAAATGCTCTCAGCTTTATCACCTCACTTCTCCCGTACTTCCAATTCTCTTGCACCCAAGAGCAAGCTCACCTAACCATAGTGACAGAGAAGGAATGTGATCCCATCAAGGGCACTCCGTGGATGGATGGAACTGGAGTAACTGCAGGCCCATCTGGATAGAGGCAGCAATATTTAGTTTTCTGTGGTGGGGGTGATAGCAGATCAAGGAGGCGGCCTGTCCTTAGTTTTCTTTCTTTCTTAACGCAACTTCAGCTTCATTTATAAGTTAGTCTCCCAGTCTTCTTTCATCTGCCCTAGTGTCTCCTTTGCTGGTCCAGCCCTCCAGCCCCAGCTTCAGTCCTTGTTTTTCTATAGCACAGACTCCCGTGGAGTGAATCTGAACCGTCAGTACCTGAAGCCTGATGTGGTCCTGCACCCAGCCATCTATGGGGCTAAAGCTGTGCTACTCTACCACCATGTGCACTCCCGTCTGAACTCCCAGAGCCCCTCTGAGCACCAGCACAGTCCCTGTCTCCCTCCTGATGCTCTCCTTTCTGACCTGGAGAAAGCCAACAATCTCCAGAATGAAACTCACCTTGTGCCCCCATCTGATGGGGAGAACCCTGAGACCTGGAAACAGACAGACACAGCAGAACAGAAGCCCAACAGTGTGTGGATTGTGCCACAGCAGTCTACCGAGGTTGAGGAGCCAGCCCTGGAGACCATCCCCCCCAAGGAGAGTGGTGTTGCTTACTATGTGGACCTGCATGGACATGCTTCTAAAAGGGGCTGCTTCATGTATGGCAACAGCTTTAGTGATGAGAGCACCCAGGTAGGAACCCTAAAAATGTCTTGTGAGTGCGGGAAAGAAGTAGTGCAAGCTAGGTGAGAAGGTTTGGGCCATGAGCAGAGGGAACGTGGCCATCTGGCAGGAAGGCCTGCACTTTAAATGAGCTTTGAAGAGCCAAACAGGGATGATACTTATGTCTTAGACATTATGTTATGAGGCAAGCTGTCAGCACTGTAGTCTTTCCTAGAGAAGGAAAAGCTGCATTACTGAGTTTAAAAAGAGAACTTGACCTTCCCAAAGTCTAGAAATAATATTCCCTGAGAATTCAAGAAGCGTTGATTACTAATGATGGTTTTGACGGGTTATCTGCTGTGTATTGAGTCACTTGGCCTCATGCTTGCCTCATCGCTTTTTTGCATTTTGTCCCTTCTTTATCTCCTGAGTTTCCTTTCTCCCCCCAAACAGGTAGAAAACATGCTGTATCCAAAACTCATCTCCTTGAATTCAGCTCACTTCGACTTCCAGGGCTGCAATTTCTCAGAGAAGAACATGTATGCCCGAGACCGTAGAGATGGCCAGTCTAAGGAGGGCAGTGGCCGTGTTGCTATCTACAAAGCCTCAGGGATAATCCACAGGTTGGGGTGGAAACTAGGATGGAGTTGATGAAATAGATTTCCTAAAGAAAATACCCGGCGTAGGGTATTTGAGGGGCAGTAAGGGTATTGGAAGGGCAGGGGATCCCCATCTTCTCAAAAGTAAGGTTTAACAATATCATTGATAGTAGTCTGGGACTTGCCCTTCTTGAGACTGCCTAGACATGTGGCATAATGCTGAGAACAGCTGGTAGTCATTGGGGATTAACACTCTCCATTTATATTCATTTTTTCCTAAGTGGTTACCTTCTTTGGCCATCTAGATTGTCCCTCATGGTTCTGTCCTGCTGTCTGTTCCAGCAGGACACTGATAAGACTCTCTGTGTCTTAGCTATACACTCGAATGCAACTACAACACTGGACGTTCAGTAAACAGCATCCCTGCTGCCTGTCATGACAATGGGCGTGCCAGCCCCCCTCCCCCACCGGCTTTCCCCTCCAGATACACTGTGGAATTGTTTGAGCAGGTATGAATATGTGGGATAAGTGGGGGAAGGGGGAAACGCAAAGTCTGCAGAGGCTTTTATTCCTTCTGCTAAGGTCCTCTGAAGAGACACCAGGATCACTGTCTTACCACTCTGGGTCTTTTCCTTAGTAGGAGCCTGCCTCTATTGTGATATGAAGATGAGCAGGCACTATTTCTGACCCCAAGCCACAGACAATCTCCAAGTACACCTGAGTATCTCTAAGCTTGTCTTCCTTAGCCTGTTGGGCTTACTCACTCCTGGGCTTGAAAGCACCCCCTTTACAGTGGTCTTGACAACCTCTTGTGTCCTAGGGTACACCAAGAGGAATAGGAAGGTTTTGGAAAAGCCCCAAACTGCTAGGATTACTTTATGGAGCCAACTAGAAAGCATACGTGACCCTGCTCATACAGATGAAGACCTTAAAATAAAATGGTTAATGGGTTAGGGAACAGTTCTAAACCCATTGAGATAAAACTGTCAGAGCCACAAAAGTTGGGTACAGTATTGAGCAAATTTTCTACCTGGCCTCCTTTCCTTCCACTGTGCTGTGTGCCTGACCCCCACACAGCAACCTGGATTGAAAGGCCAAGATGCTAAACCAGCCTGGCCTCCCCACAGGTGGGACGTGCTATGGCCATTGCAGCTCTGGACATGGCAGAATGTAACCCGTGGCCCCGAATTGTGCTGTCAGAACACAGCAGCCTCACGAACCTACGGGCCTGGATGCTAAAGCACGTGCGCAACAGCCGAGGCCTGAGCAGCACTGTGAATGTGGGTGTCAACAAGAAGAGAGGCTCTCGAACCCCACCCAAAAGTAACAAGTAAGACCAGCTGGATAGAAGGGAGAAGGGGCATGGGCCAGGAAGAGGGGCTGTAGTTTTAGTCCCTCCCTCCTCCTGAAAGTACCACATGGTTCATATTTTCAGGGTAAATTAAAATGAGCAAAATTAGCTCAATTTTGGGAAAGGGATCCTTTTTCTTTTCACTTCAGGTTACCTAGACATACTTCTGAGATCTGAAAACTAGGCTGGCCCTGTACAAAATCCAATATAGATTTTTGGTTGTGGGGTGGGGTGAGGGCAGCTTCCAGTGATTATAAATGACTGACAGAAGTGAGTTCAAGGGCCAGGGCCAAGGCCACGAGTAAATTCATTGGGAGATAAAGCTGCTCAGGGACAGCTCTTACTGTTCTTAGGGTACTTTCTATAAGAGCATGTATGTGTGAACAGGGACTCTTGGGCATTCTATGATCAGCTGGTATGTCCCAGGTTAGATACCTTCACCCTTGGATTTGAATTCTTCCCTTCTCCCTTGGAATGGGTTTCTGCCAGTGTACCTCAGAGGTGAACTTTACTGAGCATCAGACTCTGGGAAAAGATGTGGCCACTCTCTAGCTGGCCAGGGTTAACTGGCATCTACTTCTTTGCAGTGGGTTGCCTGTTTCCTGCTCTGAAAACACCTTGAGCCGGGCACGGAGTTTTAGTACTGGCACAAGTGCTGGTGGCAGCAGCAGCAGCCAACCAAATTCTCCACAGATGAAGAACTCCCCCAGCTTTCCTTTTCATGGCACTCGGCCAACAGGGCTGCCAGGCCTGGGCTTGAGCACCCAAAAGCTCAGCCACCGGGTACTGGGCCCCGTCAGAGGTAAGCTAGTCTGGGATCCCCTGCAACAGGTGTTCAGTTGTTTGGGGCATTGCTGGGGGAAGTGAGAGCTTGAAGATACATCCAGGCCGGGACAGAGGGGTGAATCAATAAAATTAGTTTCTAGCAGAACCTGCAACCTCTCCTGTGACCTTGGTGTTCCCCGCGGTATAAGCTCCAGACCCACATGTACTTTGGGTGGCCACAGCTGGAAGTCCTAGGTATCTGGGTTTCAGCACATGCGGGCAGCCAAGAGAGTCTCCTGGGATGAATCACTAGCTGAAATGGTGCCAAAATCTGAGACACAGAGCCTCTATATCTAGGACAGTTTCAGTCTGGCTTGTATTAACAACATGTTCTCAGAAGCCAAATTGCAGCACTGTAGAATGATGAAGAATACTACCTAGAGTCACTGTGGGCTGAAATTAATCCTTACTTCGAGTCTGTTCAGAAAATGTCATCAGGATTCCAACTCTCCAAAGAAAAATGGAACTACAGACAGTTTCTCTGTATCAGCACCCCTAGGTTTTGTTTGATGAGATCCTGATATAAGACAAGTTTCTGGATTAAAATTTATTCCAGAAACAGGTAAGTCTTTAGGGAAAAAGAAGTAACTACAGGACCATTCCTTGGGAGTAACCTTGACTGTGGTGGGAAGAGAGATTGTTGTAGTGCCATTTCTGGAAACACACTAGACCACAAGTCAATATTGTGTGTGGCTTCTGAACTACAGAAATCTTGCCAGTATTGAGGCTTGTAAGTGGGAACTAAGAGCTTTGCTGTTCTTCAAAATGCACTCCATGGATCCATGTTAACATTTCCCTGATTACTCAGCTTGCAACCTAGCTTTTGATAGGCCTGAAATATGCCCTAGATTAAAGGCTATGTAAATCCAGCTGCACTAGTTAGAGCATTCACACAACTGACAGCAAAGGTCCTTACCAACCAGCTTTGACCACAAAGGAGTTCTATTCATGGTAATCCAATCTCATTTTTTCTACTTACATCCCAAGCCCCATCCTTTGAGATTCTGTTGTACTGGAAAAATACTTTTGCTCTGTCTTTAAAGGAGAATATTAAAGTAATAATGCTATACTTGAATAAGATTTAACAGTGAAAATAGTACTATATATAGAATTGCATTTGATCTCCACGAGAGGACACTCTGGGGTAGATGGTATTTCCATTTTTCTGATGAGGAACCTGACTGTTTTAAGAGTGAGTTGGGCCAAGATTGCACAGCTATTAAATGGCAGAGTAATTCTAACATATCTTATTTTTGCAAATAATGTACCCAAGAAAATGATGCACACATATAGCATTCACAGGAAACCAGTGCATGGGGCTATACAGTTTGCAAACAGACTAACTGGGTAACACATATGATTTTTGCATAAAAATGCAGTAAGTATTTTACTGTTCCTGGTATATCTGTTTCCTCATCTTGTTACGTGCCATTGAGTGGATTCCAACTTACAGTGACCCTAAATACGGTTTCTGAGACTTTTAAAATCTTTTTGGGAGCAGATAGACTCATCTTCTCCTGTAGAGCAGCTGGTGAGGTCAAACTGCCAATATTTGTGGTTCACAGTCCAGTGAGATCCTCCAGGGCCACCATACTCCCATTCCTCATCTTGCCTTCTTAAATCTGGATCGTTTTTCTTTCTTTTTTATTCATGTCTTTTGTGGCTTTTAACTCTTAGTTTTTAGAAAGGATTATCAGTTTAATAAATTCTCCTTCCATAACTACGAAGAGAAAATAGTAAAAAGTCTTCCATAGGTCCATACTAGAGAATTCTAGGCAGTTTTTAATCAGTATTTTGTTGACATTTCCCAATGTAGAGTCCTGCATTAGATTCCTGAAGTTGAGGGGCATGTATTTTATTTCTGTTAACTTCCCTAAACCTATTTGTACAGTCAGACCTAAGTAATCTCTTGTTGACTAACTTGAAGCTTATAGGAAACAGGACAGGGAACACCATATAATAGCATATACACATTATAAACACAAGAGTGGACTCAGGGAACTACTGTGGTAAACAAGTTACTATGCAAAGAATGCCCAATTGAGCAATAGTTTTGAAGAATGGATAGTATATAGTTTGATAAAACATTCCAGAAATGAGAGCTAGGAACAGAGCTGCTGAGCTGCTGTTAAGTGCCGTTGAGTGGATCCTGACTCAGCGACCCTGTATGGGGTTTCCAAGTAACGCCTGGTGAGTTTGAACCTCGTAGTTCTAACTGACCTTGGGGTCAAGTGCTTATCTTGTGGCTCTACACTAGGAGTCTGAGCTTCTGGATAGAGGACAATTAGATGAAAAGAAGTGGGAAGGTGAAATGTCATGAAAAAAAAAAAGATTATTAACGGAAACATATGGCATTAATTGTGTGCTTCTGAGAATGATGGGAACAGAAAAGTTATGGAAGAGAGCTGTCTGTAAACTGTATATATTAAAGACGACAGGAGAGGGGATTCTTGCAGTAGTTTATGCACGAGATGGTTAGAGCCTGTGTCAGGGTCTAGAAAGAAAAGATGAACTAACTTTTAAAAACAGGTGGCAGTACTCAGTGATGGTGGGAGAGAGAGGAACTAAGAGCACTGTAAGGCTACAAATTGAAGGAAAAGTCATGTTAGCATTAAGGCACTTGAAGAAAAAGTGATGAGTTATCTATTTTAGTCACACTTGATACTATGGTCTATTTAAATAATCTTGCAGAGCAGAAATGTAGAAAAAGTGAGACATCAAATTTGGAGATCTATGAATCATCTACATACAAATGCCAGGTAAAACCAAGTTAGCAAGTATGTTCCCACAGGTGAAGGAGCTTAGAAGTAGAAAAGAGGCCCCTGGCATGTGTTCAGAGACACCCCTTAAGAATTAGGAACCATATGTCTCTAAAGACAAGTGGTCAAGAGATTTACTAATGATACGTACCAATAAGCAGTATTGTAAGGAGTTGAAAGGCCAGATCCCAGAAATCTTAATTTCTATGTCTGGGCACTGCTGGTGCTACAATTTTTACTACTTCATCCCTTAAAGTCTTCATGATGGAAGACAGGTCGTGGCATGGATTATGGGCCTGAGGTGCAGACTATGATATTTGAACTTGGTATCTTCAACCAACCCTTGAAAAAACTTCATTATTTGTCCAGCATGATAATATCTGGACATTTCCTGGTTCCACACCTTAGGCAATTTGGCCCCTACCCACACCACACAGTTTATCTTCCAAAATAGGAAGAAATCTAATTTTAAAGCAGCTGCATTTAAAAACTCCAAATTCTGATTTGACAAGGCTTTTTTTCAATTTGTGAATTTATTTTGAAATTCCCACAGCAGTATGAAAATTGTACCACATTTAACTCCCTTTAATGATTATCCCCCGTCCTTCATGTTGTTGCTGTTAGTCGAATCAGTTCTGACTCGTAGCATTCCTGTATAAGGTTTCCAAGGAGCAGCAGGTGGGTTTGAACTGCTTACCTGTGGTTCACAGTCCAGTGCTACCCAGGATTCCACCAGGCTAGACCAAAACATGGTTTGGGGCTATCTTGGAAATTTCAGAAAAAAACTTAAGCTGTTCAGGGCACCAGTCTGACAATTCTCTCTTGAGAGGGTATGGGATGGTTTTAGAAAGCCAATAGGCAAACAGCAATGTTTCTGGGGCAGGAGTCTTAAAAACCGTTCTAGGTAAATCCTGACTCTCAGCACCCTTAGTGCCAGGATGTTTGCTACCAATTCTCCCAGCTGTGAAACAGCTTCTAGACCCCATAACCCAGACCCACAATCAAGTTCCCATCCACCTGGCTCAGAAGTATAGACCACATTACCAATAGTTGCTGTTTTTCTATAGAGGAAGTTTCCAGGGAGTAGCAAATATGATGATGGATGAAGGAACTCTAAAGTCTGCAAGATACTGGTGCAAACCCACATGCAAACAGAGCTAAAAAGGCCTGCTGTGGTGAGGAGGGATAGGTAAACCAGCTTATGTTTGTACTGGTTATCTGTAGGCTCAGGTGAGGCAAGCAAGACACCTAGGACACAATATTTATGTTAGCCTTTTACTGTCAGGGTTGTGTAGATATATCAGATTTTGTACTCTGGATCTAAGCAACAACTGAAACTCACTCTCTGGCCCTCCAGTCTCCCCAGCAGAATATTGGTTTAAGAGCCGAGGCACTAAAGCATAAAAGCAGGAGCCTTCAGCTGTTGCCCTCTCACCTGCACTCCTCCCTCCCAGCTCTGTCCTGGAGCCCTGAAGTTACTCATGGAAAAATGGAACCGAAAGATAAGGGAATTTTTTTGAAATTTCGTCATATTAAAGGCAGGAAGTATCTCCTAATATACCTGACACCCTCTGCCTGGCCTTTATTAAGTGACTGGTAAATATTTGTTGAATGAAAGACAGGCAAGAAGTTGGAGCCAAGTGAACGCTTATCTCACCTTTTCCCTCCTCAGAGGAATCAGTATTTTTATTGAAATAGTGTGATCATTCCAGATGGTTGTGCACTGATCCTGTTCTCACTGTAATACAAGAGAATTCAGTATGACCTAGGGTGCTACATGTAGGAACAATTTAGGTGGGAGGATGCAGGTCCTAGGCACAAGTCAAAATAATTGCTCCTCTAAAGTGTGAAACCTTAGAATATCCATTCTAACTCACATAGTGGTGAGGTCTGACTCATGACTTCTTGCCAGGACTATCTTGCTCTTCCCAAATTGAAACAGTTTGACTACCAGAAGGTATCATTTCACAACTTCTGGAAGTAGAAACTGGTCACATACCCTGGACCTTAATTGTTTCTGTAACCTCAGAACCAAGACATACAGTTGGGCGACTTCCTTTATTTCTTGTCTCAAATGGGGATAGAGAAGGCCTGGATATACTAGGAATTCCAAGTCAAAGCATGAGAAACTGTTTTGCCTAAGGCAATCTAGAAGTGATGACTGAAATGCCATCTTGAAATGTCTTCTACTTTCCAGATCAAGTTTCCCTCCTCAACCAGACAATGCCTCCTGTCTAGAACTCTCTTCTTGGGTTGTACCTTACGTGATTCCTTATTTCTATGCTCCATATTGATCTTTTTTACATAATTTTCAGGCTTTGCTTCAAGTGTCACTCAGTTTCTTACTAAAACCTGCAAATATCCCAAAAGCTCTCATTATTTAAAAAATTGGTATTCTTGTTGAGAATACACACAGCAAAACAGACACCAAGTCAACCATTTCTAGATGTAGAATTCAGTGACATTGAGGTCACTGAGTTGTGCAGCCATTCTCACCCTCTTTTTGAGTTGTTCCCCACCACTCACTTCACTTTCCTGGGTAAGGAGCTATAGGCTCATCCCTTAACATGTCTCTGTTGTTGTAAAGTGCCATCGAGTAGGTTCTGACCCATAACGACCCTGTATAGGGTTTCCTAGGGGCAGCTGGTGAGCTTGAATTGCTGACCATGCGGTTCAAACTGACTTTGCAGTCCATCGCATTAACCCACAGTGCCACACTGGGACTCCTGTTAGGGACATGTTAACATCTAATAGATTATTTCTCAAGTCATATACAGACCCAATAATGTTATGGCCAGAATAGCTCCATTAAGATTTTTAATCCCTATCTTCTAGCCCTTAATTCATTCATATAGGTCTCAAATTTTTTGTTGTTTTTGGTTTGGCACTTTTCAGTGGTAGAATTGTTACTGTCACCTACTGTGTGAAAGGCTTTTTACAACCAACTCATGTTTCTTAGGAGTCAAATGACATCTTGAAAGCTCCACTGAATTTAGCAGACCTGCTGCCCCTCTGTGATATGGGCAGGTCTTTCTCTACCCCACCCAGTTGGCATCTGTCCCTTGGGGCCCCACCCTCAGGCTCTAGCCACAGGTACAGACCAGAAAGAGCTGTCCCAAAGAGTACAATCATGTCCTTAGAATCAGATAACATCGGTTCAGTGTATGGCCCATGGTGGGCGTCTGTGTTCAAGTAAAAAAAACACTTTATTAAAATCTCTGGTTTTCTATAAGTCCTCCCATATAATGTTGGAGAAAAGGCCCCTACTTTCAAAAGAATCAAGTTACAATTAGTAAGAATATTAGCTAACATTTACTTAGTACTTATTGGATGGCAGGCGCTATTACAACTGTCGTTAAAAGTACTGATTTCATTAAAGAGGCAGAAAGCATAAACCACTACTAGTCATACGAGCAAGAGAGAGATGACAGGAAACGAGGGTAAATTGCTACAATTTGATGAACTTGACCTATACTCATAAAGGTAGTAGCTCTAAATAACGAAAGGGAAGGAGACTTCACATCTAATATCAATGCTATCCCCATCCCTTCTGTATACCAGGGTAGATAGGGACAGGCAACATAGACATTGGATTCCTAAAATGAGGGGGCAATAAATGCACAAAGTACCTGGCTTACCAAGGTTTCAAGAAAGAATATAGTTTAAAAGTGTGCCAGGGGAGATACAGTCCCTATTGAATAGTTTTTATCTTGTCTAGATGGGTCTGGTGAAAAGAGATGGTGATAATATCATGGCTAATTGTGACTGTCACAACTGTAAAGGTAGAAGTTTTGTAACACAAACGAGAGTAGTTAATCTTACAGTCCAGAAACAGAGGACCCTAGGACCATCAAGGGAGAAGAGTACAAGTGGAATGTGGGAACCTATCCAGAGAAGCAGCAACACCAGAGATAGAGGCAGAGACGGGGGCATGGAGAGAGGGCGTACCTGAGGACTCTAGATTCATGGAATTAGAGCTGGCGGCCAGGAGGCAGGCTTGTAGAATGTGCCCATTTGGTAGTTTAAATTAGTGTTTTTTTAAAAAAAGAACTAAAATGAAAGAAATAGTTAACTAGAAATACTGTTAACTGATGATACATGGAGGGGATTATAATCATTGTAATGAAACCAAGTATATGATTTGTTGAATGTAAAACTGATGATCTGTCCTGTAAACTTTCACTCAAATCACACACAAAAAAAGATAGATGATAATTCTGCCTATAATGGTCAAGGTGGCTTCATAAGTGACATTTGAGATGGGACAAGAAAGATGTCCATAGTTTTACTTGTTGTTAAGCGCTGTCAAGTCAGTTCTGACTCATAACAAGGCTGTCTGTATAGGGTTTCCAAGGAACAGCTGGTGAGTTTGAACCACCAATCTTGTGGTTCAAACCAACCCTGCAGTCCAGTACTTACCCTACAGTGCCACACCAGGGCTCCTAGGAGACATATTCCATAAGAAACAGCACATATAAAAGTTGTAATAGAGAGTATGAAAGATCAAGCCAGCATCCTTCTAAGATTGGGACCACAGAGGGAAGAACTTTGAATGTTATACAAAAAGGTGTAAACTATCCTTTAAATGACCTTCAATCTCTCCCTCTTGACTAAACATAAGTGATTTCTGATCAGGATGGTTTCAGGAAACTTATTTCTGACATTAGTGTGAAGGATGTTTTGGAAAAGCGAAGAGACTAAGCTAGGGAGACCAGTAGGGAATCTTTTCAAAGGCCTGAATGAGAGGGAAAGACCTGTATATGGGCAACAGCAAGAGAGTAAGGAAGAATTCAAGCACTTGCAGAGATAGAATAGTCAGGATTTGACTTAACACAGATCTAAGTGCAAAGGAGTCCTGGTATGGCGCTGTAGGACTGCAGAGTCGGTTTGATCAACAAGGTTAGTGGTTCAGGCTCACCAGCTGCTCCTTGGAAACCCTATACAAGGTCACTGTGAACTCCATGGTACTTAACAAGAAGTGCAAAGGAGGAATCTAAAGATGAAATAAAATTTCTAACACAGACTTGTTGTTAAGTGCCTTTGAGTCAGTTCCGACCCACAGCAACCCTGAGGAGCGGCTAGTGAGCTTGAACAGCCGGCCTTGTGGTTCAAACTGACTTTGCGGATCAGCACATTAACCCACAGTGCCATACCAGGACTCCTTCATGAAGCTGGAAGAACAAAAAGGAGGAAGGGTGGAAGAGAATGAGTTTTCTTTTGGTCTTGGGGAAGATTTCTTGGTAGACATGTCAAGGGCACAATTAGAACTGAAGTGCAGGAGAAAAGTGCTAGAGAGATTTGAGCAAAAAGGACAGAATGGTGGCATTTAAGGACAGGAATAGCAATTGGAAGAACAGTTAGAGGATAAGAGAACCTAGAAACTCTGTTTCAGAAGCTAAGCTGAATAATTTCTTGGCCAGAAGACTGAACTACATGAGTAGGTTGGTTAATTGAAAAAAAGTCAGAAAGATGAAGTAGAATTGAAGGCTGGCTGAGAATTGGATAACTGCAATAAAAATATTCAAGGTCTTTCTACCCATCTCAGATACTTCACATGAGGGATACTGGTCTGATGATAAATGTGAAAATACTTATCTTTTGACCAAGGGGTGCCAGTTGAGCAGTGAAAGTTACCTTGCTTATTTGCCCTTTTATATGCTTGTCTCTTCCACTCAGAGCCCCGATGTCAGGACAGGAGACGGCGGCAGCAGCCGTTGACCCATCGCCCTACTGCAAGCAGCCTGGCCCCACCCCCAGCTCCCATTAGTTCTGGTACAGGCTCCTCACGCAACATGGGCTCCTGCTTACTGCCCAACTCACTCAGCATATCAGGTCTGTACCCGTTGTCATTGAGATCTGAGGTGACCAGCACCCTCCCAATCCCTGCCACCTAGTGCTTAGACCAAGCTCCTAAATAAACCTAAGGAAATACTGTGGGCCATGCTGCCACCTGACCTAGACTTCCTGGACCTGATGTTAATGCCAGGCCCTCCAGACTAGAGGCTCCAGTTATTCTCCTAGGGGGGAACCTGGATTGTCCTAATCCACACTTTTATACAGGAAGCTGGAATTGAATGAAAGGTTTAGTATAATAAAATAACAGCTACCATGATGGCACAGTGGTAGAATCTGCACTTTCTGTGCAGGAGACCCATGTTGGAGTCCCAGCTAGTGCTTCTCATGCACCGCCACCACTCACCTGTCAGAGAAGGCTGTGGACCGCTATGATGTTGAATAGGTTTCAGCAGAACTTCTAAACGAAGATGGGCCAGGAAGAAAGACCTAGCAATCTGTGTCTGAAGATTTTCAGCCAGTGAAAATCCTATGGTCACAACTATCCTATCTACAACTGATCATGGGGATAGCACAGGCCCAAGCAGCATTTTGCTCTGTTGTGTATGGGATCACCATAAGCCAATTCAACAACAGCTAATAATAGCTAGCATTTATTGATCATTTGGATTCCTGGTGTGACGCTGTAGCATCAGCACTGGACTGCAAACCACAGGTGGGCAGTTCAAACCCACCAGCTGCTCCTTTGAAATCCTATACAGGGTTGCTCTAAGTGAGAACAATTCGGCGGCACTTCACAAGAACAACAAATGCCAGTAGTGCCAAGGTTGAGAAATCCTGACCTAAAGAAAGTTTCTTCTCTTCTCCATTGCCCCTATCCCGATGAGCAGTTTCCTTTGTTCTCTAGGGAGTAGCTGCTCAATCCTGTCCTCAGGGGACAAGCCAGAGACTGTCATGGTGATTGGGAAAGGTCTGCTAGGGGCTGGACCACGGACCCCCTGCATCAGGACCCGAATGCAGGTAATTTTTGGACCTTCCCCACTTCTCAGCATAACAACTCTTGCAGAGCCCAGCAAGGCACTGTTCATCTGGGTAGTGGGAGGGGAAAAGTCCAGCACTGCTTTATAGCCTCTTCCCAGCTGCTCTGGGAAATCAGAAGATGCTGAGTGCCTGTCTGCCACTGTCTACATCCCTATCAGTTAGGTCTCTCTATTGCTTGCTTTCAACCCATGCCCCTTGCCAGATATACCCAAACCTCAGCCTGCTAGCTTTGGCTTTCCCTGCCTCTGCCCTTAGCTTCTCCTCTCTTTCTGCCCAGACCTGCCAGAGGAGAGTTTCCGCCAGGAGGGGTCCCGGATTCCCCAGGTAACATGTCTAGTTGCTGCTCCTAGGAACAGCTGTGCCACCAACTCTAATTCAGTCCATCCCCACGTTAGGTTGGCTAAAGTTGGATATAGGTAGAAGCTGACTGGATGGATGAAGTTTAATCTGAAATGGCAGTGGCTGAGGCACAGGTGCTGAGAGAGATCTGTCTGTCTGTTCTCCAGTCTTTCCACACGGTGCTTCTTTTGTCAGTCAGACCTTGCCCACAGCTGTGATCCTTTTGTCACCCCTAGTTAAAACCAACTCAGAATGCATGCTCACAGACTGACCCCAGTAGTTCTCTGGTCATGGTCTTGCCTCCCCTCTCTCAGCTAGGAATCAAGAACCCAACCCCACCCACTGCCACTGAGTCCATTTTTAGAGACCCTGTAGGGCAGAGCAGAACTGCTCCGTAAGATTTCCAAGGCTGTAAATTTTTGTGGAAGCAGGCTGCTGCATCTGTGCAACATAGCAGCTGGTGGGTTTGAAGCACTGACCTTTTGGTTAGCAGCCAAGTGTTTTAACCACTGCACTATCAGGGCTTCTCTCAGTTGTTAAGTGCCATCGAATTGGTTCCGACCCAAGCAACCCTGTATAGGGTTTCCGAGGTGCAATTGGTGAGCTTGAACTGCCAACCTTGCAGTTCAAACTGACTTTGCAGTCTAGTGCATTAACCCACAGCAACACTGCCATCAAGTAGATTCCTATTCATAACAACTGTTTAGGGTTTCCAAAGCTATAAATCTTTATAGGAGCAGAAAGCCTCATCTTTCTTCTGCAGCATGGCTGGTGGATTTGAACTTCCATCTTTTGTCATTAGCAGTTTAGTGTTTATGCTACAGCACAACCAGGGCTAGGGATTGTTGTTGTTAAATGCTGTCGAGTTGGTTCCGACTCATAGCAACCCTGTATAGGGTTTCCAAGGAGTAGCTCGTAAGCTTGAACTGCTGACCTTGCAGTTCAAACTGACCTTGCAGTCCAGTGCATTAACCCACAGTGCCTAGGAATTCAATGACCCAAGTACTTAATGGTGACTCCTATACTACCCTCTTATGGATGGGAACTTTAGAAGCAAACCAGCTCATGGAAGAATCCAGCCTCTTAGCCTACCCCTGTCCACACAGGCTAGGCCCAGGTTGGGCCGGGGCTCACCGCCAACTCGCAGAGGGATAAGAGGCTCTTCGGGCCCCACATCCCCTACCCCTAGGACCAGTGAGCTGGAGCCAGGACCCCGCTGTGCTGCATCAGGGTGAGAACCAGGGTCCAGTCTCTCCCCACCCCTGACTTCTATCACATTCCCATTTCTGTCATTCTGTATCTTTCTTCCCTACTTACTTTGACCCCAATGACTAAGTGAATCTAGTCCCTTATTTCCCCCCTACACGACCTTAGTTTTCATTCCAAAGGACAAGAAAAAACGTTCTAGTTAAGGCCTAAGGCCTAAGACCTAAGAGCTATTTCCAGCAATAACCTGCCATCCCTACTCCCTTCTCCTCTCACCTTTCTGACCTCGCAGCCCCCGACTAATACACCAGAAGAGTGGCAGTTTTCACAACCTTGATCCCTCTCTCTTCTTTGTTGCAGGCTGCCTCAGGTTGGGCCCCCACGGCCCCGCTCTGCCCCTGCCTTTTCTCCAATTTCCTATAGTCTATCTGACGCCCAGTCCCGGATTTATTACAGTGGAGGGTCCTTGGGCCAACCTGAGGTGTGTTTTGTCTCTAAATCCCCCCCACTCACTGTTTCTCCCCGGGTCTGATAATAGCCCCAAGCTAGGAGAACACAGTGAGAAATGTGCTAGCCCCCTCCCTCAGCTGCTGATTCCATACAACACTAGTAACTCAACAGGACACCAGCCATGCTACCCAAAGGATAGCAGAATACCACCTTATTGAGTCAAAGCAGGGACCTGCCACCCTCCCCTCCTTCCACAGCACAAGATTTTGGGACCACAAAAAAATATATATCTATATTTTTATATTGGGGGAGTAAAAAAGAAAGTAGCCCCTATACTGGGCCCTATTCAGTGGCAGCTTCTTGTTCCATACAGTTAAGGAAGACTTTGAGGAAATAAAAGTTGTTTGGAAAAATCCAGGTGTAGTTGCTTTGTATGTTGTGATGGGCAGAAGGGATGAAGTGTGAAGGCCCCTCACACCCTCCATCTTGCCTCAGACTATGTCCTGGAACCCTAGAAAAGAGGGGAAAGACTTGAGGTAAGGAAAATGCTGCAGGTTTCTTCTGGAGAAATCCTTCAGGAAATCAATTGCTATTGGCCATTTCCTTTTACATTTTTGACCCAAACTTAATGTTGGTCCCAGTGGCCCCCTCCCACTCCATCATTTCATTTCTATGGCTTAAGCTGACAGAAGCCAAGCCGTAAATCAGTGCCCCTTGTCACAGACCACGGAAATAGACGTCTACATCATTGCACTCTCACAAAAAAATTCTACCCAAATAAAGGCCTGAACAACCTCGGGAAAATGAGGGTTGTTTCAGTGCAGAGCCCAAATCCTCATATTTAAATGGCACTTGTCTCCATACTCCCTAACTTGGGCGTCTCTCTACTGGGAACTATAAGGTGGGGACTGAGGGACACTGGGGAACCCATCCTCACTGTAAGCGGATGGGGCGCAAAGCATTCACTTCTGTAGACGGAGAAAGATTCCCAGTTCTGGGCGTACCCTTGTCCCGACACTTTCTGATTGGAAGTTTCGAACGCCGTAGGCCCTGGATCGGCCTGGCCACTCAACTTTTCTAGGGCTAAGCGGGCTGTTACCTGGGGCGGAGAAAGCGCCACTTTCATTCCTGCTTCTTGGGATTGTTGACGGCCACGTAGTGATAGAGAACGACCAGCAAGAAGAGCGACACGCCCAGCATGTTGGCGAAAATGGCGAGTTGTACGTCCGTGATCATCCTGCGGAGATGAGGCAGCACTGAGTCTTAGGCCGCCGCGCTCCTCACTTTCGCCAGGACTAGTCCTTGCCCTTACCGACCAGCCACCCGGTCAGGCTACCCGCGGAACCGCGCCTGCGTGGCTCTCACCTGATTAGTCAAGCTTGACTCCGACGCTCGCTGCGCACAAGTTCGAGGTAGGCGACTTGGACCGGAACTTTGTAGCACCACCGTAGTCCCAGACCAGGCACTTCCGGCCCTGCGGCTCCGTCGGAATGGCCTCTCTAGCCCAGTAGTCTCGCCTGCTCCCTGCGGCTGGCTCTCAAGGGGGCGGGGTCTCGGCGGGGTTGTGAAGAGACTTCCAGCCCTCGGGGGTGGGACGGGGCCGCGGACTCGCGCTTTGGGTTCTTTCCTGCACAGCTGGCTGCAGCTGGCGAAGCTCGGAACTCGGATAGTGAGGCTGTAGTTGCCGCCTCAGAGCCGGGGAGTGGGCTAGGGCGAGACTGCGATGGCTGGGCCGGCCTGGGGTAACCGTTTTGACCCTTCGACTCTCACCCCACCCTCTCTTTCCTGCCCCGGCCTCCCGCGGTGATGTCCACCCCTCGTTTCCCGGCCCGGCCCAGCCAGGTGCTTCCTTTGGGTCCTGCCCTCAGGGTCTCCTCCCGGGCCGGGCATCTAGGATGAGGGTGAGAGACGCTGCAGCAAGGGGACAGGCTCGGGCTGCCGGTTGCTCCCCTCCCTGGCGCCAGCCTTTCTGCCCCAACTCCGACCAGTTTCAGAGATCTGACCAGTGCTGGCCTTACCCAGGCTCTCCCACTCCCCTACCCCGCCCTCGGTGGTGGGCGTCGGAATAGGGCGGACCCTCCGGGAATCAAAACCTAAACCATGGGACTTGGGCCAAGTGGGAAATCACCCCCCGGATGTGAGGGATTGGGGCGAGGAGGAAGGGCCAGGACAAGCATGAAGGTTTGAAGCTGAGTGGGTCTCGGAGAATGAAGAAAAGAGGTGGCTGTGGGTAAACGTCCGATGGGGTCTGGCGAGGGCAGAGGCGCCCTGAGGTTCCACAACATCTGCCCATTCAGAACATTCTCCCTCTTCACTTGATTTCCTTCAGATTAACCATAAAAGGGAACAGCGTCGAGCCAGGCTGGGGCCGGGGGCTGGGCTGTTGCTGTGGAGCTGTCAGGAGTAATGGAAGCCAGTTGCTTTGCGGTAGAGGGGTGGGGGGTAGGGCTCAGGGGACGCCTCAGCTTCTCTGAGCCAAAGAAAACTACAGAAGCTGCTATGAGGCCGGAACCTCTGGGCCTTGGGACCAACTTGCCTGCCTATGTGCAGAGTGAGCTGGGGGTACACTAGCCCAGACTGGGCTTCCTGGTCTGAAACCAGCAGCAGTTTGTCCCTTATGCTCCCTCCAGCCTAGGGACTCCCAAGCTCAGTCTGTGCCTTTAGTAGTCTGTAGTTCCCCTAATTTACTCTCCACCTCACCTCAGCCCCCACCCAGTATTTCCCAGAAGTTTCTTATTTAGGATCTTAAGCCCGACATTTCTCCACATAACATTAGTGAAAACACCAGACATACACTCCCTCATTCTTCCCTCAGAGACCTGTCTATTCCCAGCTCTGCTTTGAGAGAATGAGGATCTAGGTCTGAGAAGATTATACATCATTATGTATCATGTCTCCTTAAAATTGGAAGCAGACCCAAGTCTAATCAGACTCTTAGGTATATTGTTGAATCAAAACTAGACCTCTCTCTTGTTTATAAGCTCTAGCCTCTAGGCTGACCCTGGAAAATGGAATTTCTAGACTGCAAATAGCATGAGGGAAGGCCTTGGAAGTGCTTCAGATTCCTAAGAATGATCTAAAATCAGCTCCCCCAGGTGCATAGGTTCCTGGACTGCCTGAGCTTGAGTGGGGACCTGTAAAATTGTAAAGAAGGAAACTGGGACTTAGAAGTTTATTGATATAACCAAGGTTCTGCAATTGGTTCAAGGCAGAACCATACCAAAATTCAAGTATCACCTATTCTTCTTTATTCCACATTCCATGTACAATTGTGGACACTGCAGTTAACCCTTTAGAAGTGAGTGGTCGTACTATCAGGAGGGACCAAGACTTGGAGAAGGACATCATACTTGGTAAGGTCCGGGGTCAACAAAAAAGAGGAAGATTGAAAGATGGATTGACATAGTCTCTTTAACAATGGGTTCAAACATAGGAAAAATTGTACACTGATGCCTGACGGGGCATTATTTCATTTTGTATGTTATGAGTTGGAAATGACTTGACAACACCTAACAACAACAACATAGATTATTCTAGGGTCAGGGACAAAGGGAAAGGATTTGTTTTAGAACTAACCAGAAATGTTCTTCACCTCCTAGGACTTCCTAAGCCTAGGTCAGCAAGTCTTTATCTGTCTTGAATGGATTATTTGACCTAGTGCCTGGAGGAACTGAAATTTTTTTGTGTGTGTGTGTGGCTATGTTACACTTTATTCATTCATCAGTTAATGGACATTTGGGTTGTTTCCTGCCACCACTTGTTCTGGTAGCATAGTGGTTACGAATCAGGCTGTGAACTACAAGGTCAGCAGTTCAAAACTACCCGTGGTTCCATGGGAGAAAGATGAGGCATTCTGTTCCCGTGCAGGGTCCGACTATGAGTCGGAACCCACTCCACAGCACTTAACAACAACAACTTTTGCATTTAAAACCTTGACAATCAGTCCTGGTAACAATTATTCACCATTGTATCACAAGAGACCTATCCGCATTTCCTTTCATCAGTCCCGCCTAGACAGATTGGATACTACTCAGTGGAGATTCTACCTTCCTCCACGCCCTCTGGATCTAGGTTCCCTCTTGAAAGCTTGTAAGCCAGTCACTTCTTGCCTTTGTAGCCCTCTCATTTTGGATAGCCAATGTCCAAGTTGCCCATCCCTGTCTTCTCTGTGTATGGAGGGCGTTGGAATGATCCTTGCTATAAAGATTTGTTCCCTCTTTTGAGTTGCTGCATCCACAGGTGTAGGTCAGGTTCATCAAATTGTATCAGATTACTCTTTTTCCTCTTCTTTCTTCCAGTTGAGCTCTGATCATCCAGTCATTGAGGCTAGGTCAAATGGGTGTTATCTGCAAGTGTGGGTGCTCTTGTGCATATGCCCTCTCTTTTTATCCACTGGACATTTCACTCTCCACTCCAGTCCTCCATGGCTATGTCACTGACTCTGGGCCCAAGAGTCCCCAGGTCTTGCCACACTGCTGGCCAACCAAGTCTCCACCTGGGTTCACAGGAGTCTATTGAATGTTGTAGGGCTTAGCTCGCAGCCTCATAGCTGTTTTTCCCTCATTTCCCCTTGTCGGTGGCGAAGTGGTCATCCATTAGAGCGTGTATTCCCATTGAGTCTTAGTCTTGGAAGGGGGTTTACTCTGAGAGGACCTGACCCCTTACTTTGATGTCTCCTGGGTGGGTAACTTGCTTTTTCTTGCAATAATTGGTCGGTCTGCCTATATTGTTTTGTATTTTTTCTGTCAGTGTTTCTTTCAAGAGGGATCTTCTGTTCCTCTAGCCACTCCAGGCTGGTCTGCCCGTCCTCTCGGGGAAATTTCCTACCTCTGAAGATTCTGGATGCTGTTCAGGATTCCATCTATAGTCTTATGTAATGCAGAGGCTCCACAGGCAGCCTCCTCCTTCACTGGGCACGTTGTATCCCCATTTTAGGTATTCCAATCAGTTATAGGCAGAAGACAAACTTACAAGCTTTCTATGGTGATATTTCTGGCTTTTCCTTTTTCTCCTCTTCCAGTGTCTATTTTATAATGTAATGCAAGGAATACTAAGACTCAGTAGACAGCCAAGCATCTTAACATTATTTCCCCCCTTTTCCCTATTCCAACCATGTATCAATCTGTGTACCCCAGAGCCCTGTTGTTCCAAGGTTGTGCATATATCATTATTTATCTCTGTCCCACTTAGCCCATGCGAACCTGCCTACTTGTTCTCCCTTCTGCTTTGTTCTTCCATTCCCCTCTCCCTTTTTGTGTATTGCCCCCCTTCCCAGCACCCAAAATATCCTGTGTCTATCCCCTGCCCTGTGCTCTACCTTTCTGTCCTTCCCCTCACCCCACCCCCAACATCCCAGCAATCAGCAGAGAATCCCCTCCACCCCCCTTTAGTATGGGTTCTTTTTCTTAGTCTTTTACAGTAGTGGGAGGAACTGAATTTTAAAAATTATCTCTGAGACTGAACTATACTCACTTAAGAACTAAGAAAGCCTGAAAAATAAAAGCCTGGGTAAAAAGTATGTGGGGGGACAAAAACCTTATGCTAGAGGCAGAATTGGAGGGGGGGATACTTGTGGATATGAATCTCTATGATTAGTGTAACATTCTTAAGGAGAGGACAAGAGGCCAGGATTAGGCTCAACAAGATGAGGGGAAAGGGGGACAGGCTCTGAGTTGAGGGAGGTTTGTTACTAAAGTATTGTATCTGTGGGAAATATTGGATGGAAAGAAAAATATGCATTTGGGGAGTCCCTACAAACTTGAATTCCCATCTGGGTTGGTATGACCCCAATGCCCAATTCATATTATTCTTCACTTTTATTTCTTCCCACTATTCACTCCTCACATAGCATTAAACATAAAATATTCCTTTTTGTTGGTGTCCTTGACTACCCTGAGAACAGGAGCTCATTGCTCAGTTAATGGTCATTGAGCGAATGAATTAGTTGTCTATCTACTTCCATTGGCAATAAACCCTTTGGGAACCCCCATTTTGGAGAGGTTATAAATATAGATCCTGTCCTAGTATCCCAGAGACTTAGCCTTTTTTGGTCTCAGGAACTCTCTTGCCAACTACTTTGGAAATTTTTGGCTATCTGCCAATATCACCACCACCACCATTACCACCATAATACTCTCATCTTCACCACCATCACAGCCTGATTGCCCACACCTCAGAATCAGCAATGGGTATTGTCCTCCCCAGTGGACCCAGAGCTGCTCATTTACTTGATAACTCACAAGCATTCATGTCAGCCCTTAGGTCTTGGCTCCTTATTACAAGACTAAATGAAATGTGACCTACTGCAATTGTATTTCAAAGCCAACATTTTTTACTTGACACACTAAAAATGTGCAACAGATTTTTAAACTTCAGGTACCAGGAGAAGGAATAGGTAACAAAAGGGCAGTAATAAGATGAGTAGGATGTCTGTGCAGGTTGCCAGAGGCTTTCTTAAGAGAGAAAAGAGGAAGAAGAGCAGGAAAAGAAAACCCCATAGCACAGTCAGGAAATAATCTGACTTCTAGCCAGGGCCTAGAACTGAGGCACAGACCAGGGACAAAGTTGCAACCTTTTGTTGTCAAATTCTTTGAAATCAGGACCTCCTGGGATCATTTTACTTCAAATCTTCCTGTGTGCTGGTCCCTGGACCTCTAAGGGACAGTCACATTTCTGCTTCTCTTGGTTCCAGCCTTTACTTTCATTGTTCTGTCTTTTTGCCAACATTTCTCCCTGTCACCAGGGTTACATTCTGAGCCATGGACCTCAGAAGCAGATCACTCAGAGTCACAATGAAGATCTGGTGCCATTCATTCTTGTGATTTCCAACTATTGCCACTCTAAATAGTTCCCAGAATCAAGATCCACATTTCTAACCATCTCCTAGACATTTATTTCCACTGGGGTGTGTTATTCTCACTTTAAATCCAATATATGACAATGAAGGTTATCTCTCTCTCCCCAAAACCTATACCTCTCCTAGACATCCCCATCTTGACTCAAACCCTAGAATCTTCTCTTGTATTTCCCTTCATCTGGTCCCACATTACAGAGGCAGTCAACAAGCAGTTTCAGTCTTCCTATCCTTTCCATGGTCATTGCCACCACCAGAGCCCAAGTCTGCATCATTTTGTAATATGGAATTTACAGGGGACCTTAGATAACAACTAAGGAGCCCTGGTGACAATGTGGGTTAGAACGCTTTGGGCTGTTAACTACAAGACTGATAGTTCCAACCCACCAGTCATTCTGTGGGAGAAAGATGAAGCTGTCTGCTCCTGTGAATAAGGAAAACCGCAGAAGAATGGATGCATGGGATTTGCCCGAATTTATAATGCTAGTTAGATGAAGAGCTGGGACTGACATCCTTATGCACTGGCACCAAGCTCAGTGCTCTTATCAATAATTTCTTCTTCCTATGCGCGAATGTCCTCCCCTATTCAAAAATTTATAACCCAAGTTCTTAACTAGGCATTTGAGCTTCTCTTGATTTGGTCCATAATCTACTTCTTTTTGTCAGACTTCTTTGTGACACAAATAAGAACTAACACTTATTGAATATTTATCCAGGCATTGTTTTAAATGCTTTACACGTATGAATTTATTTCATATTCAAAAATCTAGAAAAGGGAGTATTGTTATTACCCCCATGCTACAGATAAGGAAGGAGTCCTGGTGTGGCACTGCGGGTTAATGCACTGGACCTCAAGATCGTTTTGAACAGCAAGGTTGGTGATTCAAACCCACCAGCCACTTCTTGGAAAGCTTATTGTTGTTGTTGTTAGGTGCTGTTGAGTCAGTTCTGGCCCATAGTGACCCTGTATAGGGTTTCGGAGGAGCAGCTGGTGAGTTTGAGCTGTCAACCTGTGGTTCAAACAGATTGCAGTCCAGTGTATTAACCCACAGCGCCACACCAAGACTCTGGAAACCCTATACAGGAGTTGCTATGGGTTGGAACTAACTCTATGACACTTAACAACCACAACAACAGATAAGGAAACTCAGGTAGCCCACTCCATAAGCTTGAAAATCTCTCCGTCCCTTCCTTTCTGTTCTTCATGTTCTTTATCCCCCAGCACTGTTTAGGTCCTATGTCTTCCAACAGCTCTGTACGACTACCCCCAGCATCCTCCCCTCTTATCCATTTGACCTGCCCTTCAGCACTCGTGTATCCCACCCTGTGTTAATTCTATATTTTGGTGTTTGTGTTTCATTCCCCAAGAGCCTTAGTCCCTCCTTAGTGGACAGTGACTGAGCCTTATATGCCTTTGCTACATGGGCACCTCTAGAGCGTATAACACCTGGCATCTAGTGCTCTTTTTCTCCTTTCTGTTTAGAACTCCATACCTTTTGTCACATAGGTAGACTCTGGTCCAGCACACACTGTCAAGGACCAGAAGGTAAAGGGGGACCCAAGCTTATAGATTCAGACATCCCACCAGGAGCTTTGAGATCAGGCTGATGGTAAAACATGACTGAGTACTGTATCTCTTACAGAGGATATCAGACTTAGCTCCAGGTAAGGAGTGACTTCCTTTGGCACTATAAAGGTAGGCCCCAATTAACCCCATTACCTTATCTCCAGTTATTCCCTGATCTTCTGCACCAAGGTCAGTGTGGACCCATAGTCAATTGGCCCTTTAAGGAGATTCTTCTCTCACCCATGTTCTCTCCATTGCTTGACAGAGACTGCCTCCACTCCCATTTCCTGATTCCGTTCTTCCTCTTCTGTATTCTCTAGATTTCCTGCCTGCCTCAATAAAGTCTTCTTCCTCTTCTGTATTCTCTAGATTTCCTGCCTGCCTCAATGAAGTCTTCTTCCTTTTCCTCCCTGGTCCAGGGACCCCCTTTCTTCTGTTCCTTCTTTTTCTCAGGTCCATGACCTAAGTTTTTAGATTCTAAGTCCTGGTGTGGCACTGCAGGTTAATGCACTGTACTACAAGGTCAGTTTGAACAGCAAGGTTGGCAGTTCAAGCTCACCAGCTGCTCCTTGGAAACCCTATATGTTGTTAAGTGCCGTCGAGTCGGGTCTGGAAACCCTATATAGGGTTGTTATAAGTCAAAACTGACTCAATGGCACTTAGCAACAATTACAAAACTCAGTCCAACTCTTGATGTGCTGTATTACCTTAGACAAGTTACTTCCCTGCTCTGGTATTAATTTTCACATCTATAAAAGGAGTCAGCTGGATTAGATGGTGAATGAGATGTCCTATAGAGCCTTAACAAGTTCATTCCCTCAACAGTCCTCCCCTCTGGGCTCCCTCTCCCAGGTCCTCTCTCCCAGGCTAGGCCTGCCCTAGCCCCAGGAGAGCTGTGGTTCCAGCTCCTGTTCCTGTCTACGAGACCCAGTCCCAGACCTCCTCCCCAGCTCTGGCCCCGGCTTCATGTGGCCCATCTGAGCGGCTGGCCCCAAGCCCGGCGGCAACTCCACATTTCTCTGTTTTTCCTTTTTTTCCCTCTCTTTCCCGGAGTTAACAAGAAGCAGATGTGGCGCACGATGGTTGGAGAGGTGGGAGGGAAGGGGGAAGGCTGGATCGCCAGCCAGACAGGGGGGAAGGGAGGAGAGTGAGCAAGGGAGGGAGGCCAGGGCCCGCCCCACAGCCACCCCTTGCACCTCTGAACAGTCACTCGGGCAAAGCCCTGTCACCCCCAGGATCCGGTCATTGAGGGGAAAGGACAGAGAGACCAGAGAAGTACTAGATGGGGCAAGGGGGAGGAGGCCCAGGAAGCAGCATCTGAGAGGGGCAGGGACCAGGCGCAGGAGGCCAGGGGCACAGAGAACAAACTCCCCTCAGAAGTGGAAAAGAGGAGAGCGGAAGGAACCGAGGGAGGGACAGACGGAGGCCTGAGGAGGAAAGAGGAGGGGGAGAGGGGTCAGGCTAGGCAGCCAAGGAGGAGGCGTGTGGCTTGGGGCCACAGGCAGGAAGCCGGGGGACAGGGACCGGCGCGCTCTGTCCCGCTGAGCCGTGGCATCCCTCGGGGCCGGGCAGAGGCGCCAGCTGCCAGACCGGGATGTACCACTGAGAGGCACCGAGGAGCGCCCGCACCATGGCCCCCAGTGCCCTCTGGAGCTGCTACCTCTGCTGCCTGCTGACTGCCTCCGCTGGGGCAGCTAGCTATCCTCCTCGTGGTTATAGCCTCTATACAGGGGGCGGTGGAGCCCTCAGCCCTGGGGGGCCCCAAGCCCAGAGCGCACTGCGGCCCGCAAGCCGACACAGGTAAGAGGGGGTCCAGCCTCAGACTGGAGGTGGGTGGGAAGAGCTGGATGGAAGATGGACATGCTGGTCACTATCTTTGCTACCTGGTCCTGGGCTATCTCCCCTGATGCAGAGAAGGGGGAAGAGAGGAAAGCTTATCCATCAGGTATTTTCTCACATGCCTACCTTCCCAAGGGGCCACTTCCAGGGCCCCCTGCATGAATCAATCCCTGATAAATAAACTAAGGAGGATAGCACCCACATCGCTCCCCCACCCGGCCCTGCCCTTTGGAGTCCTGGGAAACCACCCTGTGGGGTGTGGGTCAGGGCTTCCTGAGAACTGCCTTGTACTCGTCAGTCCAGGATCCTTGGGCAGACGTTTTGTCCCTTTCCAGGGCTCTGTTGGCCCCATCCAGTAACCCATAATTCTGACACCACTCCTGCTCTCCAGTATGACCCAGATCAGAGGCTAGCATGAATGGGGCGAGTGTGTGGAACTGCTAGCCTCAAGGGAGGCAGGGATCATCAATGGCGTATTCTCTACTTAACCCTGAGCTGGACCGTGGCCTGCTTAATGTCCTTCCCACTGAGGGATGGGTGGACTCCAGCATCCAGAGGATCATCCCTAGAGGCTGGCCGTCTGGCTCGCACAGGGCTTACCAAACTGGGGACAGAGAAAAGGCCAGAAATGGATACAAATGAGGGCGTGAATTCAGAGGCTTCACAGGCCCTCACAGCCACAAGGAGCGATTTCTCAGTGTGGTGGTGGTTTTCCATTTTGTGCTGCTCCTATCTTGAAAGGTCTTTATCTGTTCGTGGCGCACAAGGCCCCGGGCCCTTCATTTTTTGACCCTTACTCAGCCCCTCTGATATAGCGCTATAGGTTTGAACCCCAAGGTAGACAGTTCAAACCCACCAACCGCTCCTTGGAAACCCCATGCAGGGGTTGCTACGAGTCAGAACTGACTCACTGGCACTTAACAACAATAACAGCCCCTCTGGCAGCCCCTGGGGCCTCCTCTGGGGCGTGTGTCTCTGGTCCTTGGGCCCAGGTGGGGTTGTGCCTACAGGAACTGGTGTGCCTATGTGGTGACCCGAACAGTGAGCTGTGTCCTTGAGGATGGAGTGGAGACCTTCGTTAAGCCTGATTACCAACCATGTGGCTGGGGCCAACCCCAATGTCCCCGAAGCATCATGTAAGCTCCCTGTACTGGGCTATGGACTGGACCAGTGGATACTTGGGGGTGGGGGTGGGGGTAGGGGTGGGCTGGTAAAAGGGTGGCCAACTGAGGGAATCTGTGCAAAGCAAGAAGCAAGGCAGCCGTAGTCAGAGCTATTTTGGGAAGATGCTGTGACACAATAGTTTGGCTGATGGCATACCAAAGGCAAGCACAATTCAATTCCTCCTCTGGGCTTGGGTCATCCTCAGGGAGAGGAGCTCAAGGTTCCAACGCAGTGCAAGGGGAGTAAGGAGGGCTTTGGCCCTTGGTCAACAAGCTGACAGCTGTCACTGAGCAAGGCCACATGCTGGACACTAAGGGCACTCAGCCTAAGGGACAGGCCTTCTCACCAGCAGGTGCTCATTTCTAAGGACAGGGCCCGAGTCACAGATAGTACAGGGAGGAATAAAGAGTCTCCCCCTCCTCCTCCTCTCCCAGGTACCGCAGCTTCCTCCGCCCGCGCTACCGTGTGGCCTACAAGACAGTGACGGATATGGAGTGGCGATGCTGTCAGGGTTATGGAGGGGATGACTGTGGTGAGGGTCCTGCCCCAGCGCTGGGCCCTGCATCTACCACACCACGCCCTCGGCCCCGGCCTGCCCGCCCCAACCTATCTGGCTCCAGTGCAGGCAGCCACCTCAGTGGGCTAGGGGGAGAAGGTGAGTATGGGAGCCACTGGGGAGAGAGGTGGGGGACTATCCTGGGTGGTAAATGTGGGGCCAGGCTGCTAAGAGGAAACCCCAAGCAGTTCTAAATCAGTGGGAAGAAAGGGAGAAGAGGGAGCTAATGAGATCCCTGAGATTCTGTGTGTGTTTAAGAGAGAGACTATGTTCTCACACACGCCCACTTGTGGCCAAGATGCTTCCTCATTGGGAACAGCTGTGGGAGGAAGGCAGAGGGGGCGGGGGGTGGGGGGGGGAACTCCTTTGAGAAGTTTGGTCAATGGGGAATAGATTGTTGAGACTACAAGTCCTAGCATGCATTGCAACTGACTACAGGTCCCAGGTCCCTCTAGCCTTTGGAGACTGCAGGTCCCAGAATGCAGTAGTCTCTATTGCTTGCCTTCCCTTGTTCCAGGCACTCCGGATGTGCTGTGTTTCCCTACTAGGGAGACAGCAATAACTATACTTACAGAAAGACGCACCCTGGCTGACTCTCTAACCAATACACTAGAGCCCAGCCGACTTGCTGTAGAACCTGTGGTTTGTCCCTGCAGTGTCATGGGGAGTGCTGCCCAGAAACTGCCACTGTTGTCCTCTCCAAAGGGCCTACACCACATTCCCATCATACTCCTCTTGACAGTCTCGTGAGGGAGGACAATGAGTGTCATTCCCATTTCGCAGCTGAGATGTTTCCAAAATGTTAAGAGGCACTGTGCACAATGGTGGTCAGACAGGTGACTTGAGTTTGAAACTTGGCTCTGCCACTTGTTAAACTTGTAACCCAGTTACCTAATATCACTGGTCCTCTGTTTCCCAATGTATAAAATGACCTAGAGGTATTCAGTGAATGACATTTTCTTCCTCCTCCTCTTGCCGAAACCACCCAACTAAATTGTAGCACAATCAACCTAGGACTTCTACCTTCTTAGTGGAACTGGGGTGAGCAGGGTGTAGGAGGTGAGTGGCAGATAGAGGCAGGCACTGCGTTCTGAAGTCCAGTCCTCTGCCTTATGCCTTCCCCTCTCTGCCAGGTCTTCGGGAGTCAGAAAAGGTGCAGCAGCTGGAGGAGCAGGTGCAGAGCCTGACAAAGGAGCTGCAAGGCCTTCGGGGGGTCCTGCAGGGACTGAATGGGCGCCTGGCAGAAGATGTCCAGAAGGCTGTGGAGACGGCTTTTAATGGAAGGCAGCAGCCAGCAGATGCAGCTGCCCGCCCTGGTGTGCACGAAACCCTCAGTGAGATCCAGCACCAGCTGCAGCTCCTAGACAACCGTGTCTCCACTCATGACCAAGAGCTGGGTCACCTCAACAATCATCATGGCAGTGGCAGCTCCAGCAGCAGCACCGTGGACTCAACCCCTGCCCCTCCTGGCCACAGTGAGGAGCTGCTTCGGGAGCTGGAGCGGCGTATGCAGGAATCCTGCTCAGTGTGCCTGTCGGGGCTTGACAGCTTCGGCCGGCAGCAGCAGGAAGATAGGGAGCGGCTGCGAGCCCTAGAGAAGCTGCTGGCCTCAGTGGAAGAGCGGCAGCGGCAGTTGAGTGGGCAGGCCCTAGGCCGAAGACCCCCTCAGGAATGCTGTCCCCCTGAGCTGGGCCGGCGACTAGCAGAGCTGGAGCGGAGATTGGATGTTGTGGCCGGCTCGGTGACAGTGCTGAGTGGCCGGCGAGGCACTGAGCTCGGAGGAGCAGCCGGGCAGGGGGGCCACCCCCCAGGCTACACCAGTTTAGCCTCTCGCCTTTCTCGTCTGGAGAACCGACTCAACACCACCCTGGGCCCCTCAGAGGATCAGGAGGGGGGTTGGCCCGGGGGCCCTGGGTGGTTGGGCCACTGGCTGCCTTCTGCCCGAGGCCGACTAGAGAAGCTGGAAGGGCTGCTGGCCAATGTAAGCAGGGACTTGGGTGGACGACTAGGTTTGCTGGAAGAGCAGGTGACAGGGGCTGTGCAGGCATGTGGGCAGCTCTGTTCTGGAGCCTCTGGGGAGCAGGACTCCCAGGTCAGCAAGATCCTCAGTGCCTTGGAGCGCAGGGTGGTAGACAGTGAGGGGCAGCTGCGACTGGTAGGCTCTGGCCTACACAAGGTGGAAGCAGCTGGGGAGGCCAGGCAGGCCACAATGGAGGGACTTCAAGGGGCTGTGGGTAGGCTCCAGGATCGAATAGATGCCCAGGACTTGATGGCTGCAGAGTTCACGCTCCGGTTGAATCTTACAGCTACAAGGCTGGGCCAGTTGGAGGGCCTGCTGCAGGCACGTGAGGACGAGGGCTGTGGGGCCTGTGGTGGTGTCCAAGAGGAACTGGGCCGCCTTCGGGATGGTGTGGAGCGTTGCTCCTGCCCCCTACTCCCCCCACGGGGACCTGGGTCAGGCCCAGGTGTTGGGGGCCCAGGCAGAGGTCCACTGGATGGCTTCAGTGTTTTCGGGGGCAGTTCAGGTTCAGCCTTGCAGGCTCTACAAGGAGAGCTGTCTGAGGTCATTCTCACCTTTAGTTCCCTCAATGACTCATTACATGAGCTCCAGACCACCGTGGAGGGCCAGGGTGCTGATTTAGCTGATCTGGGAGCCACCAAGGACCGCATCATCTCTGAAATTAACAGGCTTCAGCAGGAGGCCACGGAGCATGCTACGGAGAGTGAGGAGCGCTTCCGAGGCCTGGAGGAAGGACAGCCACAGGCTGGCCAGTGCCCTGGACTAGAGGGAAGGTTGGGCCATCTTGAGGGAGTCTGTGAGCGCTTGGACACTGTAGCCGGAGGGCTACAGAGCTTACGAGAGGGCCTTTCTAGGCATGTAGCTGGACTCTGGGATGGGCTAAGGGAAACCAACAGCACCAGCCAGATGCAGGCAGCCCTGCTGGAGAAGCTACTGGCAGGGCAGGCTGGCCTGGGTAGACGGCTCGGTGCCCTTAACAGTTCCATGCTGCTCCTAGAGAACCAGCTGCACCAGTTCAGCATGAAGGACCTCACTGGTGAGGGGCATGAGGAGGCATGGGTGGGAAACCCCTTTTTTTCTCCTTCTTTCTCCCACAACAGCCCACCTAGATCTCACCTATTCTTTGCTCTGTCCAGCATGTATTGCAATTCCAGCCACTGTCCCAGGGGTCACAACTTTTCTGTAAAAGATGACCTAAGATTCTAGCTCTCTGTGCTCCCTCTGCCTGCTTAGATGGGCCTATGGATGGAAGAGAGCTGTTGTTAGGTGTCAGTACATGGGCACTGAGGGGCCCTAACTCGCCATCAACCACTGAAGCTCCACCTGTTTCATCCATCCCTTGCGCATGAAGCCACTATATTGCCTATCTATTGAAAACTCTCTTTATGACTCTCCTTCAATATAGTTTTTTCACTACAGGTCCAGCAGGTGAAACTGGGCCCCCAGGGCCTCCTGGGGTGCAGGGGCTTCCAGGTCCTGCTGGACCTCCAGGGCCTCCAGGCAAGGATGGACAAGAGGGGCCTGCTGGACCACCAGGTAAGAAGGCTGAGACCTTAATGGGCAGCTCCAGACTTGAACCTGACAGAGAAGGGAGAAAGGGGTGATGAACTGGGGATCTTATATGGTGGATAAAGAGCCCTGATAGAACAGTGGGTAAGCAGTTAAGTGGCTAATCAGAAGGGCAGCAGTTCAAGCCCACCAGCAGCTTCATGGTAGAATGATGTCAGAGTCTGCTTCTGTAAAGATTGACAGCCTAGGAGCAGGTCTGTCTTATAGACTCTGCTCTATCCTGAGTCACAATTGACTGGATGGCAATAGGAATATGGGTGATGTTGTTGTTGTTAAGTGCCGTCAAGTTGGTTCCAACTCATAGTGACCCTGTGTAGGGTTTCAGAGGCTATAAATCTTTATGGGCGCAGAAATATATTTTTTTTCTCCCAAGGAGCAACTGGTAGATTAAACTTGCAGTTTGCAGCCCTGCTCATAATGCACTACGCTACCAGGGCTCCTTATATGGCTGACAGTGGGAAGAAAGTGATTAGGAGTGGGGACAGTCACTAATTGGATATGTTGACCTCACTGCAGTATTGAAGACTGAGGCTGAGCTTACAAGGACTTTCAAGGGCGTGAAAGATGGGGGATAAGGACTCATGGCCCAGCATATATCAGCATCAAACCTACTTAGTTCTCCTTTTCTTCCTAGTTTCCTGCTTTGAAATCCTCATAGCTCTCAGCACAATGGAAGGCACTCAGTAGATGTTCACTTAGTAATTTAATGAGAACTGCTCTACTTCTAACTGCTTCCTTCCCTTCTTCCACAGGTCCCCAAGGTGAACAGGGTAAGTTTCTCTCATCGGATCCTGGAGGAGGAACCTGAAATAGGGGCTGGTGGATGGAAGGCCTCGGACAGTCTCGGAGTAGACATGCAGGAGTGGAAGGACCTGGGGCATGAGGGGGCAGGGCTTTGCACAGAACACCCATCCTAACACCTACTCTATCCTCACCCAGGTGTAGAGGGGGCACCAGCAATCTCTGCGCCTCGGGTGGCTTTTTCAGCTGCCCTGAGTTTGCCCCGGTCTGAACCAGGCACCGTCCCCTTTGACAGAGTTCTGCTCAATGATGGGGGCTACTATGATCCAGAGACAGGTAAGCCAGGCAGGAGGTGAGGGTTGGGCACTTGGGGGAATGGGTGAAGCTGTGCCTCTTGAGACAATTCATTTCTTTTCAATCTCTGATTTAAGGAGATCCCCTACTCCTGCCATTATTATTCATTCTCATCATACTTGGGCTGGCAGTTGAAAGAGGGAGGAGTCATTCATTCAATAAAATCTTTCTTAGAAGGAGCCGTGATGGGTAGTGGATTACCAGCTGGGCTGGTAACTGTTGTTACCAATGGCTCTTTGGGAGAAAGATGAGGCTTTCTGCTTCTGTAAAGATTTACAGCCTTGGAAATCTTATACAGAGTCCCTATGAGTAGGAACGGCTCAGTGGCACACAACCACCTCCACCAACCGTGAGTCAGAATCAACTTGATGGCAGCCGGTATTCTTGCTAGGAAGGAGCCCTGGTGGTGCAGTAACTAAGTACTTGGCTGATAACCAAAAGGTTGACAGAGGGAGAAAGATGTGACAGTCTGCTTCCCTAAAGAGTTATAGCCTTGAAAAACCTGTGGGGCATTCTACCTTGTCCTATAGGGTCTCTTATGAGTCAGTATCAATTTGCCTGCAATAGGCTTTTGGATTCCTGACAGGCACTGTTTTAACTGCTGACATGCCGACAAAATTCCCTGTCCCCGTGGAATTTACATTCGAATGGAACAGAAGTAAAAAGGCCAAAGGGTTCCCTTCCTTATCTACAAGTTTTCATTGGGCTCTCTGACTTTCTTCCTATCCCCAGGCGTGTTCACAGCGCCACTGGCAGGACGCTACTTGCTGAGCGCAGTGCTGACTGGGCACCGGCACGAGAAAGTGGAGGCCGTTCTTTCCCGCTCCAACCTGGGCGTGGCCCGCATCGACTCCGGTGGCTATGAGCCTGAGGGCCTGGAGAACAAGCCAGTGGCCGAGAGCCAACCAAGCCCCGGTGCCTTAGGCGTCTTCAGCCTCATCCTGCCACTGCAGGCCGGGGACACAGTTTGTATTGATCTGGTCATGGGGCAGCTGGCACACTCTGAGGAGCCGCTCACCATCTTCAGTGGAGCCCTGCTCTATGGAGACCTGGAGCTGGAACAGGCATAGACAGAGAGTCGAGCCCACAGATCCAGAGTGTCCACTCAGGCCCGCGGGAGAGACGGCGACGTCACCGAACCACAGCGGTACCGAGACCCTTCATCCAGACTTTTGGGCGATCGCCAACCCCTCTAGACCCAGATCAGGGGCCCGGACTGCAGAGGAGCCTGGCCTCCCACCCTTCACTCCCTTAACTGACCCTCAAGCAGATTCCCTGGACTCCAGGGCTCTCCTGAGGAGGTGCCGGCCCCCACCTCCATACTAAACTTAAACTATTCAGGAATAAAGACACTTTTTTTTTTTTTTCTAAAAAAACAAACCAAAACACCGTTCTACACTGTATGTGTTCAGAGGCTCATAGGAGTATATAGGGGGTGGTTGGGGTGATGATAAAGAACTGCCTACTGAGCGAGTCCCGGTTTGAGACCCAGCTTGATTCCTGTCCTGGGACTTGGGGGTGACTCTGCTAGCACTTGCTCAACAAGTGCTGGTGGAGAGATGCATCCCTGGTTAGAGTTGCAGCAGGACCCCTTTCTAGTCATGTTAGTTTTGCCAACGTCTTTCAGGCGGCGCTAAAAACACCTAAGGCTGGGCTGCTCACAGATTCTTCCTTAAGGTGGTCACCTGGCCTCTCTTTGTAGGCCCTGGCGGCTCTGCAGCACAGGCGGGCCTTGGGCTGGGATTGGCTGGTCCTCTGAGGCTGGACTGGGCACCAATCACCGCTCAAGGCAAGGCTTAGTCTTGGGGGCAGGACTGTAGCAGCAAGGCCCAGTTCCATTTGTGGGTCAGAGTCATGCAGAAGAGGGCGGGGCAAGTGGTGATTTTCTCCTGCACTTTGTCTTTGCATTAATGACATTGCCAAGTCACACTTTAGACAAGCTTACATTGGTCCTGAGTCCATGTGACAAGTGAGGAAACAGGCTGAAAAGTGGAAGGCGTGGCCAACTGCAGGGCCAACCAACCTGCTGCCTGGTACCAAACTTCAGGGTCTGCATTACCAGACCTCCTTGGATTGGTATCAGACACAAACCTCCTGCAGCATTCACTGCAGCCCACCTCATCCCACCCTGTACTCCTGAAGGAAGCTCCTTGGAGGAGGAGCTCCTGACGCAGAGGAGGAGCCAGGGCAGCACCTGGGAGTCCAGGACACAGTTTTTCTGGATAAGAGGCAGAGCCTGGTAGGGCAGAATGATCCAGGGACAGCCTCATGGGAGAGAGGCAGATCTTGTGCGTGGGGTTAGTAGAGGTGCTGGACATTATCAATGTGGTGGACAGGTACCCGGAGGAGGACGCCGACACCAGGTAGGGGAGCCAGGACCCCTAGAAGAGCCCAGGAAAGACCACACTTCCGTGCATGTAACTGGCTGGCAGCCTTGAGAGTCCAGCCTTCAGATCCTGTCCATGCTCTCTACCTGGAGAACCTGGTGAGGGGGTGCGTGCTTTTAGCAAGAGAGAAGAGGAAAGAGTTGAGAGCGTTAATAAGAAGTAAGCTTTGCAGAACTTGGTCTTTAGTCAATTTTCATTTCAACCCTGGGAGTGAGATAGGCATGATTATCCCCATTAATGATAATAAACAAGTAGAGACTCTGAGAGACAAAGAGATTAATCCAAGGATACACAGCTAGTAAGGGATTGGACTAATTTTTGTTTCTGAATGCCAAGATCCATGCACTTGCCTCTCCACTAACATTTATTTCTACTTCAATACATATATATATTAGTATCACCTGTTAGTATCACCTGTTTCTTCAAAAAAGGTTTGAGGTAGCTTACAGTAAGAGGTGGAATCGTGGTGTGGCGCTGTGGGCTAATGCGTCAGACTGTATAGTCGTTTGAACTGCAGTGTCAGTGGTTCAAGCTCACCAGCTGCTCCTTGGAAACCCTATAAAGGGCGACTATGGGTGGGAATTAACTTAACGACTCTTAACAACAGTAAGAGGTATGTGCAATTAGACTGTACAAGGGACATTTAAAATTCTGGTGTTGAACTTTAGGGCTTGCTGGTGGCACTGGAGACAAATTGAGGATGCTATGGGATATGGATAGGGCTGATTCATGAGGGACCGCATACTTTCCCTGATCCTAACTTGTAAAGCTTCTCAGAAGTCGTTTTTAAGGAGGTCAAAGAGTAACTTTCCTAAAAAAGTGCTGGTGTGGTAGTGTAGGATAAGCACTGGAGTGAAAGAAGGT